GCGTGGGTATATCTCAGGATTTCCCACGTGCCCACTAAAGCAGCCTCCGTGGTGATTCCTTGTGTGCAGCATGTGCTGGGGCTCATGAATTATGCAGGTTTATATCAGGTTAGTGTGTGTGTTGACAGCATGTCATCCTAGTTCCATAATCAAGATTCCAGGCAAGACAGAGCACCTGCCCCATGAGGCTTCATTAACTGTATGTATAATCTCGTCAAAAAGATATTACAGTACCTATAAAATTTAATTCTGAGAATTCCAGCCCATCACTCAAACACAAGTCCCCCATGATAACACAGCTTTCCTCAGAGCACTTCTGGTGGGTTTTATGAATTGGCTGTTGTTCAACAGGAGCACTCGGGCACTATGTGCATTATGTGGCAGCTTGTCCTTGCTCTGCTACTCTGTCCACACACTGCTTGATAAGGTTTCATCATTACTTGCTTCTTCAGAACTAGAAAATGCCTTTTTCTAAACTCTCCTAATGTTATAGTTCCTCTTCTTTTAAGGAAAAAAAAATCTATGAAGGTTATAATGAGTTATTTTAACACTAATATAAAGTGACTACTCTCATGAAGATTTGGTGATTTTATGTCAATAAAAGCACAAGCCTAAAGCCATTTATTTATGATTGGTTATAGCACTGATGTATAGAATAACACATAATATCTTCTGCTATATAGGATCTTGAATAATTTTGTTTTCAGTAGCTTGATTTTGTGCTCTTTTGCTTTTTTTGTTTTTATTCTTCTATTCATCCCCACCTTTTAAAATAAATACCTTCCTTTCTAGGCTAGGTGGACAAAAAGATGCACAACAGAGGCCATCACCACTGCACAGCCACTCCATGTCTCAGGCTTCTCAATGGCTTGCTGGTTTATTCTCTAGTAAACCCACTTATTTATGCAGCTTGATCTGTTTTCCACATGAGAATATTCATGTTTCCCAGGGTCTTGAAGCTTACTCAGAAAATGACACATTTTTAAACCAGCTATCCTTAATACTCTTTAAGCAGTGGCTTTGGTGTTATTTTCTTAGACTTGGATATTATTTGATGGTTTTGTATAACTGGAACAAATTAAGCACACAGGATGATGTGCAAGTGCAGAATGTCCTCAGCAACCACAAGACACACAATATGATAAAGTTTTCTTTCTGTCCCTGTCTTTCTAGTTCTGAAGAATTTGTGTCTTCTTGCATTGAGCAAAATGTACATCACTGTTAGCTCTGACAGCTGGTAAGTTCTCTTTTATTGAGCAAGAAGTTAGTGTCATAGCAGCTGCCAGAACTAACAGTTTTCACTCCTGCACACTGAATTGTGGAGTAATCCCTTAGGATGGACCCTCTGTCAGTTCACTTGCTGCTTAAATGGAGATGCCATTTTACCACAGCAACCAGTTAGACTAGTATACAGAATTCTTCAGCTATCCAACCTCACCAGAGCCAAGCAGGACAGGAGGCTGTAACAGAGGTGGGCAGTTTACACTGTACGTCAAATATTTTATAGAGGGCTGCATATAAATCATATTAATGTTGCTAAGCAGAGATTAATTAAAACACAACAATTATGAAGAAATGAAATTCACTCAGCTGGTAAAGAGTATAGCTGATGAGAGATCTATTTTACAAATGCATTTTAAAATAAGCATAGTCCTGTAAAGTGTCAAGAGTGAGAGAATTCATTCAAGTTTAGGAAAACTGTGTCTACTTCAGCATCAAGGCTCGTTTTTCTCTCTGAACCCAATGCAAATCAAAGACCCAACCCAATGCAAATCAAAGACCCAACTCTTGTAGATTCTGACTGCTGGGTGGGTTTTGTTTCCTTGTTTGAGAAAGCACTGGGGGCTTGCAGAGCTCAGTGGTATGAAGCCTCATCGCAAAAAATTCAGACAGACAAGTATTTTCCCAGATTCAATGATGTAATTTAGGAAGCTCTCCTGCAAATTGTAAAGGTCCAGAAGAGACACCAATTAAAGTGGTATCTGGCAGTTTTTCATTTGACAATGAAATTATATCAGAGGACTAGTCAAAGCAAGATATGTACACGTATCTCCATGATCTAGATGTATAACATTTTCACCAGCTCTGAAGTGTTAGCCTCAGTTTTGGAATTCAAGCTGTGATCACTGTTTTGCCTTCACTGACAAGCATCCTAGAAATACAGACTTTTTTCTGATGATACTTCAGCCAAATAGAAAAGCATTTCTTGCTCCTTTCAAGACTTACAGAAACTCTTACTCCAAAGTGCTGGAGCCAGTGGGAAATACAGTATCTTGGTGAACATAAAAGAGCTGTTTGTCTGAGCTGAACATACCACACAAATGACAGCCATGTATACTGGCCTGGGTTCTGACCAGAGCCAGTATAGAAGATGCTTCAAACTTACTAATTGTGCTGGGAATTGACACAGCTGTAGGAAGAAAGAGTTTACTCTAGTTCCTATTGAGAAGGTATATGCAATTATAAAAACACTTTTCTGGACACAGGTAGACTTGCATGGTTACATAGTACTGTTATTACCAAGACCAAGACACATTTTTGAAACATTTTCAATATCCTTACAAAGAGCACTTGAGTGTTTTGTGCAGATTTAGTGAAGAGATTTTATGAAGGCACTTTGTTCGCAAAGGAAAAAAATTAACAGGAAAATGCTGGCTCTTGTGCTTAAGATGTGTATATTGAAGGGAGATGGGGTAGGGGAACAAACTATTCCAGGTCTGTGGATGAGCACATCTCAATCCTTTGCCTCCACACCTTTGAGACAAACTGCGAGGTGTTTGCTTGGGGCTGAGCGGTTTCCTCTATTTTGTACACACGAGGCAGAAGACCTGACGGCACACTCCTGTTTGCTCCTCTCTGCTTCTCTGGGACTGTTTCCCAGAAACAGTCACATTTTCTGAAAGATTGTGGGGAGGTCTCTCAAAGCACCAGCTGAGCCTTATGCATGCAGAGATGATATGTAGTGGTGCTGATGGATGAAAGGGTGGATATTTGAAAGGAAACGGACAAAAAGAGGTGGGGGAGAAATGGGTCCTGACCACATGCTCTGTTCGTGTGCTGAAGGGATCCGTGGTCTCCCAGGGCCTTGCAAAGAGGCCTTGCCTCTCTTCCCACACAAAGATGATGGGGAATCAGGGAGCCCTCATCTTTCCTTGCCTGCCTTGTGCAAGCTGTCACCTGACACTGGCAGCATTCCTGAGGTGTTCTAACAAACCTCTGTGTCACTTGGCACAGCTCTGGGACAGGTGAAGCACAGCCACCTCCCTGCACAGCATTCCCATCACCAGCCAGCTCTGAGAAACAAAGGTGGTACTTGGCTGGAAGTAATTTCTGTTGGAGTTTCTGACATTGCAGGTACTTTAATGTTTGCAGTGCTCCCACGTTGTTGAACAAGATGAGGTAGTGCTGTGTTCATCAAAGCTTTTGTCAGTGCAGAGAGCTTAGACAGTCTGAAGGACAAGAGTTGATTGTCCACATCCACAAAGTAATATTTATGTATATGCAATATTTTTTTGATGCATCATGCTGTCCTTTTTTGGATATAGCAGCTACTTGTCTTATACTGCTGGGTATGAAGAAGCAGGGACTGTTTCTCCTTGGTGTTTGGGTAGAACCTGTTGGCCACTGCAGAATTAGGAGGAGGATTTCATAGTCTTGCTTTCCATCAGCTGCTGAAGATCCCTTGTCTGCTGGCCATGGATGCACCTGAGCCACACTAGGGGATCATGAGACATCTCACACAGCTCACGTGTGGCTGTGCTGCCAACATTGGTAGCTGCTCCAGCTGAACCTGTAAGAGAGTATCTGCCACGAGTCTTTAGTTGAAACATTTTGTTTTCTGACCACATGCATTTTCCCTTGTCTTGTGTGGGTTTATCCTAGAGTAGGAACAACGATTGCTTTGGAGAAAGATGTAGGAACTTCAGTCATTACTGTCTGCTGTGCCTCAGGTTGCTTTAAATTGAATGGGAAAGGGAGACCTCACTCGTTGCTGTTCTTTGTTTATTTCTCCCATTCAGATGCAGATGGATAATTGGATATGTAATACCTGTGTTCAGAAGCCATGAATTCCAGAAAATTACTCTCAGAAACACGGAGAACTTTTCCTGCTACTAAAGCCCCCTGCCAGCAGCCATCGCGGATTCTCATTGTGGATGTCACCTCCCCTTCCTGGGCCAATACTTGCTCTGTGCTCTGCGAGGCCCTGGAAAACACGCTGTGCTTGGCATGTGGCTTGGCAGGGCCCTGCCGTGTGCCCCTGCTGAGCCTCTACGTGGTGCAGCCCCAGCAGGAGTGTCTGCTGCCCTTCACGGTATGGGGGAACTGGGGCCCTGGGGATCTCCAGACGGGAATGCAACACATTGCTGGCACTCAGGAGAGAAAGTTACGAGTTACTGCAAATATGGATCTAAAAATTAATCATTCTCAAAAAGCATAGCTTCACAGAATTTTATGAAAAGTGAAGTTTAAAAGAAGTGTAATATTTTTGATCTGTGAAGCTGCTCACATGCATAAATTAGGCTTTGTTCTCATCTAAAACTTCTGTTGTACCTTTCATATGCTACTTTCTGCACTATCTGTACTGCTGTTCTATCAAAATTATCAAACACAACCCAAGCTGTAATAATTTGGACAGTGAAAAAATATTACCACTGTGGGAGAGATTCCAGATATTTAAAGGAAGAAGTGCAGAGTTAAAATATTATTGCCAAATTTGAGAAATATCCTGAAATCATATAATTACAGAATCATTTTGGTTGGAAAAGACCTCTAAGATCATCAAGTCCAATCCTAAACCCGGCACTGCCAACTCCACCACTAAACCATGTACCTAAGCACCACATCTACACAGCTTTTAAATATATAGATCTAAGTCAATAAGAACAAGCACTGCACTCATCTGGGGCTATGCAGTGGAATAAGTGTAGATGGAGAATGGCAAGCAGCTCTAAAGTAACAGTTTGTGCATCATAAAGTGCACAAGAATCTATGAAGTCATAGTGTTAGAAACAGTCACACTGAGCAATCTCATTTACACAACATTAACGTAAACACACAGAACTAACCCTTCCACTTTATACAGCAATGGTGAAAACATCCTGAAAGGTTTTGTCAAGTTTTCACATCTCAGGAAAGGTGGAGACCAACTGGGAAAAATAAAAAATCGGAGATAACAGTAATTTACCAAATGTGATCTGCAAGAAGAATGTGGCTAATGATGTGTCGTGGTTTAACCTCAGCCAGCAGCCAAGTACCACGCAGCCACTTGCTTTATTTTATAGGACAGGTTATAGACAGTGTGACATGGATGACTAAGGGAATACCAAAGAAACATTTTCTGAAGATACTGTGGAATCACTCTGATTAGGGGCTTTAAGAGCAAACACTTGTCTTGCTGCCTAGGATGAATTTACTGGTAATTCATCCTGACATGTCACTGCAGGATGATCCCGGTGATCTGTTTCACAGCTGATTCCAGGCGTGCTCTCTGTGAGTTTACATTATGTCCAAGTTAGTTTGTGAGTGTTTGGGGCCAAATACCCACTTTTATGTTTACTGGGTATGTCCTGACACTGGTCCAGCATGTGCTGGCTGACAGCTGCCCCCGATCTAATCTGGTAATTGTGGCTCACCAGAGGATGTCTGACCTTTGACACAATCCCTCTACTTATGAGTATTATGACTCTGCTGCTCATGATCAGATGTCTTTGTAATTTAAACAACCGTTCCTCATTTTGATAGTCACAGTTTTTAAAGACAGGAACCTTTAGATCATTGTTTGGCTTTCTTCATATTACAGGCTATTATATTTCACCAAAGTACCCATATATCGTTAAAGCACTCCTTCCAGAAAGCCATCTAGTTTGGGTCTGAAGATACTACAGGGTGGATAATCAAGTACTTCTCTTGATGATTTCTTCCAGTGGTTAATCACTGTCATTGTGAAACTTGCCCCTGGTTTCTAATTTGAATTTATTTGCTTTAGCTTCCAGGGATTTGTTAATATATTTACTCTTTTGGCTAGATTGAAGAGCCTGCTTGTATTTTATCCTTTCTTCCTCTAAATAGAAGCAAGTCCTTTCTCAGTCTTCTAGCTGGTAAATCAAAGAGAACACATAAGTCTAACTGCAAGGCATTTTTACAACCCCTTAATAATTTCCAAGCCCTTCCGTGTATTCACTCTGCTGTTTTTTTGATTCCAATACTGGATTCAGCAATGCTGTATAGAGAATTAAAAATACCCCTCTTGTTTGCATGACTGGTCATCACATCAGCTCTTTTGCCATAATACTGCATTTGTCTTGGACTTGTTCAAGACAGCATAGCTCACACAAAGACTTGAGTCAGTCGTGTGCATCCAGACTGTGAGCCCCCACTCCCCTTCTCCCCAGCTTTCTTTAGGTGTTCTGCTCTGGGAGCCATCTCTTCATTTTAGATATCTGATGTTGTACTGAAGCTGTTTTTCAGAGCTGTTCTTTCACTTTTAGGAACAGTAAAGTGTTTCAAGGTGACTGTCTTCTTCAGACTATGAGTGGCTGAGGTCGCTTAGTTTGTTCAGCTGGAGAAGAGGAGACTGAGGGCAGAACTCATGGGGGTCTGCAGCTTCCTCATGAAGGGCAGTACCTACCTCTTCTCTCTGTGACCAGTTGCAGGACCCAAGGAGACAGCTGTGCCTTTGTCAGGGGAGGTTTAGGTTGGATCTTGGGAAAAGGTTCTTCCCCCAGAGGGTGGTCGGGCACTGAACAGGCTCCCCAGGGCAGTGGTCACGGCCCCAAGGCTGCCAGAGCTCAAGGAGTGTTTGGACCACGCTCTGAGGGACAGGGTGGGATTGTTGGGGTGTCTGTGCAGGGCCAGGAGTTGGACTGGATGATCCTTGTGGGTCCCTTCCAATTCAGGACGTTCTATATGTTTCTATGACTCGGTGGACCTAATTTCACTAATAATGGTATCTGGTCCTCTGCTGCTTCTGGAGTCAGGAACACTTTTATGTCTCTGCCTGATGAGTATGTGTTCCATTTCAGCCTTCCTCAGAAATACCAGGGCTCCATTACTTCTCCTGCACCCCTGAATTTGCCCATGTCTCAACAGGGCAGGCTGTGAGCACAGTGTCTTTCTGATTCAGCTAGAGAGACTTGACACTTCTCAGTGAGGAACCAAGATAGAGCTGTATTAAAGGGTGCTTGTTAGACAAATCATGTGAAGTCAGAAAAGCCCCAGGGCTGAAAATAAAGACTGGGAGAATACATGGGGAAGTGTCATATATGGTAACCTTTGTCTTACTCTTTCCTGGGTGCTTGTTTATGGTCTCCCCAAAAGGGTCTGACAAGTCCAAGGAGCTTCCCTGGAAAGGGCAGGGGGGGGCAAAGAAAAGAAAACCAGAAAGTACCTAGATAACTGTGGAGGACAGCAAATGGTGACAAGATAGGAAGTGAGCATTAAAGCATCAAAAGCTTTTAATGTGGGACTGAATAAGGACTCTGAGCAGAGCACCTCCAGCTGATGGTGCTCCCTGGCATTGTCATGTCTGTACTAAGGAAAGGTCATGGGTGGGTAAGAGATACCAGATGGCCTGAACTAATACTGCATGGAGACAGAGGGGTCTGCAACAATCCTGGCCAGCCTGGTTCAGACTTGGCTCCTGCCCCCAGTCTGAGCTCAGTGCTGTGAATTCAAAAAACCTTCTTCCACATTATGGAAAGCTATTTCATGTTGTTTGTTTAACAGTCTTTCGTGTTCACTGAACGCTGTTTTGCAGCAAGTGAAAGAAAACTTTGGGCGAATTCAAGCCTGCATTTCGGAGCTGCGTTTGCTCCCAGCAGAAGGCTCCTTCCCACAGGGGGGAAGTGGAGTGGTACAAGCTGTGCAGGATGGATTGCAGCAATTCAAACAATACAGCAGACACACAGCAGCAGGAGGCTCAACAAACAGTTCTGTTGAGGTAAGAAAATGTTGCAAAGGTAGTGGAAGCCATCTCATTTCACCAATCATGCTTTATAAATGTATAATCTCATGTACAGTGAACATGCCAGAACATTTTAGGTATTCAGCAGTCTGGCTGTTTCAGAGATCCACTGTCCAGAAATCCTGGATGGAGATACCAAGTCCTTGAATCCCTCTGGACAGATTCCTGTGGAAAAGGGGACATTATCTAGGGAAAACTATATGTACAGCAGTCCTATCAACTGGATGTCCTGGGACAGGATCTAAGAGAGTTTGGTGGCTGTGTTCTCAGCTGGGTGTGTGTGCTTGCATAAGAAGGAGGGAAGCTGCTAATAACACATGAGAACAGATATATGAAGGTAGAAAACAGAGCAAGGTTCACAAGGAAGTGGAGTTTTAAGCAGTACCAACTGATGTGAAAGAACAGGGAGTTAGAGGGGGAAGGACTCAAAGAAATGGTGTTTTCCTCTGGACGTCAGGAAATATCAGCTCCAAACAATCTTTTATTTCAGACTTCACCAGCTCAGGGTCCACCTGGCTTTGGAGCTTTGTCAGTCATAAAAACAAATTGAGAGTCCCATGAGTGAAATTTCAGGAGTCCTTTTATTTTGTTTAGATCCTTAAACCCTTCTGGTGTCACACAGAGTCATGCTGTGATCAAGCAGACTCTCCTAGCTGTAATTGGGACTCACTTGTCTATCCAGGAAGTCTTTCTCCTGATTTTCTGCTTTTCTGTGTTTTCTTAGGGCCTTGAGGTATCTTTCCTGCCCATTTCAAATGGGATTTGTGCTTTTGTAAAGCTGGGGGTTGGAACAGACTGAGTACACACTGGAGACAAGACCTTTTTTGACACACAACGAAGTCCAGGATGACTTCTAGTATAGTAGAAGGAACAAGCTACATTAAAAATTAAGCTATTCATGAGTATAGGGAGTTTATACTCCACTAAGCAATCCTTGTTCCTCTAGGTTATGCAAGTATTTTGTACTTCTCTCTGCAAGGGGATGTAAGACATGCTGCAATGACAGGCTGTGATCGCAGACAGGCAGAAGGCCATGTTTCTAAAAAAGGCAGCTTTCTGCTTCAGATTCTTAAGTGATTGCATTTTTTTTCATCACAAGCAATTTTTTATGCAGAGTAAGTTGAATTTTTATTTCTATTTCCTTTTCTCAGAGGACCTTTGAGTGGTTTGCTCAGATACAGTATCTTTTGAAGAAATAAAAAATATGGGGGGTTAATGCTTCCTGCTTGGAAGTGAAGCCTGGATAACATAGGCCAGTTAAAGTAAGCATTTACCCTATTAAATTCAACTGTATCAGGCAGATTATATGTGGTGCCTGAGTCCTTGGCATCTCCCACAAGTCACCGTTTCTGTTTTTGAAGCCTTCTCTGCTGAAAGGGGCTCTCTTTGGCTTTTGCTTTTTTTGTTACACTTCTAAAGTAAAACAAGTTAAACCAAAAGGCTTTCCACGTGCTTTCCTCCACGTAAAAGAGACTCCTGAGCTGCACTCCAGGGAGCAGCACCGCGGAGCTCCCTGGGACAGCCAGGCCCAGGCAGGAATAACAGGGACAGGACCAGGCAGGGGGGTGAAGAAACAGCCTGTCAGAAGCTGTTGATGCAGGTGCCTATGTGTGAGTAGCAGGAACATGAGTGCCCGTGCAGGCATGCCACCTCTATTAGAGAACAATTGCTGTAGTGGGAGACCACGGTGGCCGGTGTTTAGAGCACAGGGTTGCCACTGGCAATCTGCTCCTGCAAATCAGCTGTTCAGGCAAATGTGCATTTTCATAGCAGTTAAAACACAAAGATGCAAGAATATTCCTAGCTGACCAGTAAGCATAGGAGGCAGACTTTGTTACAATCTGCAGTCATTTAAAACCCAAATAGTAGTTAAAAGTAGAAAGAATGACTTACTCTTTTGAGATCCTGACTTCGGCGGGGAAAAATCATCAGCATCAGCAAAACTGAATCTCAGTAGCAGTTACAGGGCAGGAAATGTGGCCAACCTGCAATAGGATTAAAAGCATTTTTCAAGTCACCAGTAGCCTGTTTTTTGTGAGATTAGAAAGTATAATGGCATTAAGGGATTATATCTAGAAACTGTGGTAAAACAAAAGGAAGTCACAGTAGCTACCTCAGCTTTTGTATGTGGTAAAATATTTCTCCTGGTCTCTAACCAGCATGTGCCAGTCTGACTCGGGTTGTGAAAAGGGTAAATTGGAGGTGACATGCTACAGATGTAATACAGCCATGGTTTTGATGAAATAAATGTCCATCAGTGTAGTAAATGCTCTTTCTATAGCTCTGCAAAAGATAATTATATCTTTTAGACAGTTCAGCTATCCCCAGCTTAAGAACAGTTCCTGCAAGCCATTTGCATTAGTTCCTAAAAGGTGACCATGATAATATCTTTATTCCCAGTAACTCAGAGGCAAACACTAGGGAGAAGTTTGGTTGGAGAGGTTTACTTTGTTAGGGAAATTAGGCTTGATCTGGTATCAACAAGGCTGACACAGCTCCACGTCCCTAGGCCCAACCAATCGTGAGGCTGAGCTCATATTCCCATCAGGCAAAGGAACACAGAACACACATGTAACACATATGTACAGGCATATGTGTTCACACAGATCACAGACACTCAGAGCATTCACACGCACAAAAGTGCACCGGTGGCCTCAGCCTGCCCCCCTCTCTGTCTGAGCAGGATGAGATCCACCTGCAGGAATATATGTGTGCATAAATAAGTGTGTGTGTACACACATCTCTGTCTCCATCCCTACAACGTGGATCCCTCCAGCAGCTGGTCTCAGACACTCAGTCTACCCAGTGCCCGCTCCTAGATCCCGGTCTCCCTAGTTTCTGGCATCTGGACATATGAGTCCCCAAGGCTCCAGTTACTGGTACAAACTGTCATGTTTACACACAGACACACTCAGACCTGGCCAGGACTCTCGTCACCCCTCCAACAGCCAGCTCCTCCCACGTTCTCACCCTTGCAACCCCCTTGGTTCCCAGGCCTTGTCACCCCTTCACCGTCTGCTCTGTTCTGACCTTCACTGGCAATCACACACAGACCTCCCACCTGAGCACTGAGACCCTCAGATACACAGGCACACAGAAGAGAGTCCTCACCCAGAAAGCTGGTGTTAAACATGCCTGACAGATTTCTAGAAACTCTTCTAAAAACTCTTTGCAGTTACTTAGTATTACACCAAAACTGGGCAGTGGGTATCACACCTACTGTTGCTCTCTTAAGAAATATCTTTAGGACAGACTGTACACTTCTTTAACAAATATAAAATTCCCATTCAGCTTTCAAGTGAGAAGGCTGGATTTAGTCTATTTGAGCTATAAGTGACAGAGTAATGGGAGGAAGTGGTGTCAAGGCAAGTCCCTCCTTACACACACAGACTCACTGACTGTACGTGCAAAGCACAAGACACCTGTAAATTGTTCCGTCTTCCAGCAGTGGCACAAAACCTGTAGATGTTCCTCCAGTGACCCTCTCAATCCATTTCATATTGGCTTAAATGTAAGCCAAAGCTAAAAAAAAATGCTTTCAAATCTGCTTTTGAATGGATGAGATATTTTTAGTGAGGACTAGGGCAGAGGCAGCTCTTGCACACTCTGGTTTGTGTTTCAGATCACAGTTCTGACTAGCCAGTCCAGCAAAGAAATGGTAAAACAGCTGGAAAAGAAGTTAAAAGATGTAGACCTTGTGAGTCTGCGAAGACTACAAGTCATTGAGGTTTTGAAGAGAGACTTCCTGGAGCCCGAGGATGTGGAGCAGTGTGTGCCAGCAGAAGAGCCCAGCAGCAGTGGTGAGTGTAAGGCAAACAAGGTGCTCAGGGAAGTTTGGGCAGCAGGACAGCCAATAGTTCTTGCTTTGGTCTGATATCTGTCACTTACCTTTGTGCCATTTAATGTCACTTAGGTAAGTGAGAACTGCTGTGCCTGGAGGAACAGTGGGAAGTTTGTACCACAGCACTTCTCTGGAGCTTTAGCACATTTGGGCAAAAATTCATGCATTAATTCAGCTCTAAGTATTACTTAAGATTTACATCATGTGCAATACAGTTGCACTGAGGGATTAAAGAGAAAAATGCACTGAGCTTATGGGGATAACACACTGACTCACACACACCCCTTCTGCTGCTGAACATCACACTGGGCACTTGACTGCCTGATCAAAAGATCCTCGGTGCAGTCAGAGGCAACCTGAATCCTTGAAGCAGGTAGTGGGGAAAGGAGAGGCAGGAGAGACAGGCAGGCCATTTGCAATCCCAAGGGTCCCCTTTAGTCCTTTCTCCTGGACTACATATTGCACAGTTCTGGGAAGAGTTATTCATTGACCAAGTCAGGTACTCAGCCTCTTGTTTAGCTGATTTTTTGTCACTAACAATGTTCTTGCTTACCTGCTGCTTCTCTTCTCTATGCTTGGGGCAGTTTTTCTTGAGCAATTAAGGTTGTATTTCTTCAGCAACCAGCAGTTGCACACCAGCAAGTTCTCTACAAGCCTCTGCTTTCCACAACAGGTCTCCTTTTAAAGGTCTTTCCTGCAGACACTTAAATTCCCCATGAACAAGACACACCTGGTCTTGTTCCATGCCTGGGTCACACAGCAAGTTCTCACAATGAGTTGATAATGAGCTTAAAAAACTGAGTCCAAATGCCTTCCAAAGTTAGTGTAAGACCTGTTCCTAGCAATGTCAGTATTGTTTTTACTGAGTGACAGGCAGTGTTGGATGTTGTTGCCTTACTTGTCTCTAGCTGTTTGTCTTTTCTGGTTGCAGTAGCAAATTTCTGGTCAATTGTCATTGTAGGGACTGGGAATGGTTAGGTGGGTTGCAGGTTCCCTTTTGCCCTGTCCCTCACACCCCTGGCCACATGCTTCATTAGTGAAAGAGTGAGCAAGTACACTCCTGACCCTGGATCTCTGAAGAACTCCTCCCTTAATTTGACAGTTTTCAGCAGCAGGAATTTAAACAATGAGAAATTCAGAGACTGAAAGTCCTATTAGGTCCTGTTTGGACTATTTTTGCTTCAGAGGAAAAGGTGCTGAGCAGACTCTAAATAAACCAGCGAGATGGTGATCCAAAATCCAGTTCCAGCTCCATACATTGCAATGTTGCTATAACTGCAACTTTCATACCTGCATTTTGTTTTTCCTAGCTTGCAGATCTCCTTGGTGATTTCAGCCCTTTCTCAAGGCTGGTAAAACAATAAAATGCTACACAGCAGGAGTTTAGGCTGGTTTTCCCCATGTGCAGCACAGCACTGACTGGGGTGTCTGCTACAGATGACGATGGCTCTCTGTGCTGCCCCTGCATCCCACTGAGCTGCTGGCAGACCAAACCAAACACTGAGTCCTATAATCCAGCACTCGGAGAGACATCAACGCTCTTACTGCCAATTAAAAGCTTCCTTTCCCTCAGCAAGACATGGCTGGTTATTCTGGACTCTGGGAGAGTCTCTGCAGGTAAAACTGCTTGGCTGGAGAAAAGCAGGGCACTGCTACCACTGAGTGGGAAAAGGGAGTCCTGAGGAGAAGGAATCAAGGTTCTGCCACTCTGACCTTAGAATTAATTTAATTTGCCAAAACCACAGCAAAAAAGGGGGTTACAAAAAATACAGTAAAGAACATTGAAGTTGCAAGATCCAGCAAGCAGGAAGTGCAAGATTAGTGCTGTGTTGAACTATGGAATAAACATTTCGATGTAGCACAAAGAGGTTCATCCCACTGAGGGTATTTCTTCCATTAGTTTGTTTCACGGCTGTTTGAACCTACTTACATTTTTAATATCCAGAGCAGGATCAGGATATCCCCTCCATAGGCTCATTCCCAGGTTAGTGCAGTTAGAAAAGACTCCAGTATTTTGAAACCCCACAGATGGCAAATCCTCAAATAGCTTTGAACATGGTCATAACAGTCTGGGTAAGAAACACGGGCTGTTTTCTTCACGAGAGGAACTCCTTGGGAGGTGCATTTCCAGACAAACACAGACCACCTGAAGAGGGACAAGGATTGCTTTTTCAAACTGCAGAGCAGCTCCTCTGTGGGACAGAGGCTAAATCTGCAACGTTTCTTTAATTACAAAGCATTAGTGCTTGCCAGACTGCAGAGGGAGCAGAGATGTGATGTATCTAAACCCCCCAGAGAGCAATGCACACAGCATTTGTGGTGGGAATGGTCTGTGGAGTACCTGACAGGATGCCTGGCCTTTGGATGGACTGGCCTCTAATTGATAACTTGAGCATTATTATTCTCTTTCTTTTGCCCCAACCCCATTACACTGGCTGGAAGCAGCTGAGCATTGCCAGACCTTTTGCTGACAAAGGTCAGTATTTCCATGTGTTGGAGATACTGGTCCCAGCTAGTCCTGTTTGGGGGAAACAACAAACAAGCACTGAAGATAAAGCATTAATACATTTTTTATGAACATAAAAATTCTTCTGCAAGTCTCAGGGAACTTTTTTCTGGATGGGCTCTGCAGATTGTTGACCATTTTGCTCAGATCTAAAATCTGTAGGGAACACAACACCACCAGAACATGACCAGCCTGCTCTCCAGCTGCATCAGTGCAGGGAAATGGGAGCAAGGCTCAAAGCATCAGGGCAAGGGACTGTTGGTGCCCCTTGCTAAGGGAAAAGGAGGAAATGTTTTAAACTGAGGAGTCTCTGAGGCCAGCGATGTGATGGTTCACATCAGTCACAACTTGTTCTCTGGAGATGGCCGTAGACAGTCCCAGCACCCCAGGGATGGAAAGGGTGGTGGGGTGGCCTGTGGAGCAGGTCAGCTCCCAGCAGTGTCCCTGGAGTCAAGTGCTGGGTTGTGATTTGCATGGTAATGGCTTCTGAAGCACTTTTTTTGTGACAGCACTCAAGGTATTAAGGAGGTGTAATGCAGTGGAAAATGCAAAAGAATGTTCTTTTCTATGGCTGAAAATATTTGTGCTTTTACACCTTTTTTTCCCCGCAGATATTGCAATCCTGGGAATGGACATTGATGTGCAAACTGTAGAGGACAATGTCATCAGCTTGGAGATGCTGTTTAAAACATGGCTCCATGACTATGGCACGGAGAGGGAACAGCTCCATCTCCTCCTTCCATTGGGAGGTTTCAGCCATGCTGCTGCACCCAAGAGCACCATAAGTATTTAATTTTCTCTCCCCCTCTGCAGGGAGCTCCTGAATTCCACAGCCTTAAAGGTTATCCAGGCTTGTCCTATGGGCACATTCCTTCCCACGGGCATGTTTCCTCCCATTTAGAGAGTGAGGTCCCTCCAAGGGAGGTCTCTGGGTGACTGGGAAAGCTGGGAGTTGTCTCAGGTTGATAGGAGCCTATTGCTCAGAGAGCTGCTTGTTTGCTGCCATGTCCCGTGGCTGCTGAGGCTACAATTAATTTCCATTCTGCAGCAAAATGTGCCTGGAGGAGCATGTGAATTCATAGCCATGTAGTCAAGGGAAAAGGGGCCTTTTACGTCCTGGAAGTTGAATAGCCCTAAAAAATGTGTTCCTTCTGTTCAATATTAAAAATCTGTGCCAGAGCTGCACTTAAGTAAAGGCTGTCTTACAAAAGGACTTGGCTTTTATTTATATCTAGTGATTTAACGCTAAAATAGCTCATGTTCTAGCTGGAGCTGCCAACAGTTATCATAATGTATGGGAAAATTTGTAAGGAATATGTCTTTTTTTTTTCCTTTATTAGTCTAAATCCAAATCCCTAATCCGTCTCTGGGTGAATGCTGAAAACACCAACAGCTACAGCAGACATAGGTGTGTTCTGCCAGTTGCTGACTGTACTGTCACTCCTGCAGTGCCATGGGAAGTCCCTGCAATCCCCTTTCCACACCTCTCCAATGTGGTGCTCCTGTGCATATGCCCATTGCTGTCACAATGGGAGCACACTTGTCTTCTGGTGATCCACAGGCCAGTTCCAGACTGGAACCAAAGCTCATAGAGAATTACTGATGTGCTCCACAGCAAGCAGATGAGAATGCCTGGTGGGCACTTTTGTGTGTGTAGTAGCTCCATATCAGCCTCCAGCACAGGCAGTTATGATATTGATTTTCCTTCATCCTAACATTGGATTTCTTACTTGATGCATTGTCTTATTACAGCTAGCAAGGCAAACCAAGTTACACTGCAGTCAGGTTTTTTCACCTTCCCACACTCAAGGAATCTGTGGAAGGCCAGAGAGATTGTTTGGAGCTCTGTGTCATTTTACACCAGTGCTAGTGACATCAGTGTCCTGTGTTTCTCCACAGACACAGATAGAAAAGCTGTAGGCAACATGTAGCCCTGAACCCAGTGTGGCTCTGGGAAACAAGCTGCTTCTCCCTCTCCAGCTGGCCACTCATTGCCCAAGCTGGAGCTTGCCTGCCCAGTTACTGACCAGTCATCGTTTCATTAACACACCAAGTATGTGCTGTTTCCCCACGTGTGTAAAACGGGGACAGGTTGTAGCTCGTGTCAGGTTTTAGTTTTCTTCCCTCAATAGTTGCTAGAAAACATTAACTTTGTAAGTGCTTTGAACGTCTCGTGCTAAACACTTCCAGCGACCTAAACCAATCTCCTTCTCCAGTGTGCCTGAAGTGCGACTTGCAGGAGAGACTGCTCGACCCAGCTCTGCTTTCGGGGCCGGCTGATGGCACTGGGAGAGCAGCAGATCCCAGTTCTCCCTGGCACGTGGCAGCCTGGCCAGCCCCAGGGCTGCACAAACTCCAGGTGGTAAAGTAAGTGTTGCTCCGGGAGGTGGTGGAACAGCAGCTTCACTCTTCCTGTGCAGTGTCAACCTGGGACCTGGTAACATCCTCATAAAGCACTGGGGGACTCAAAGTTCTGGTCAGCAAAACTGTGATTGAGATAGCCCCGGCCCTGTAACTCTTGCTGCCATGGAACAGCACAGCCCACACGCAGACAGGAGCACAGCCACGAGTGGTGGTACTGTGGCACTGGCATTGATGAGTGTAACACCACAGGTGTTATTTGTGCAGCGGTTGTTTCCCTCCAGTGTAAAGTTCTGTAGATCAGAGGCATTGCAATAATTCTGCTCTTCTCTCACTACCTAATGAGGCCACAGCAACTAATTGGATGTCAGAGTCTGAGCTAATTAGTTGGACTAGTAGTAAAAAAGCAAGCAAAGCCTCATAGTACTGTGTGACTTCACCTAAGGATGTGCTCGCTTTCCTGTCAGCAGTTTGTGGCTGGTAAGCACAGAGCATAGCACAAGTGATGCTCTCTAGTGTCTTTTCTGAGGTTTATTTATAGGGGGGGAAACTTAACTATGCACTTGCTATTAAAATGATTCTCAGCCTGTCAGTAGCTGAAGAGCACTAACAGGAGCCATATGCTTGCAGGGCTCTGAAGTCTGAAGGTGTCTGTGAGTCTGTACTGTATGGCCTGCCCTTCATCATCAAGCCCACGAGCTGCTGGCAGCTGGACTGGGATGAACTGGAGACAAACCAGCACAGCTTCCATGCTTTATGTCATAGTCTTCTGGTAAGTGCGTGAAAATTGCAGTGTGATGGGGAGGGATTGCCAGAGAAAGGAACAGTTAGTGCAAACCCCATAAAATCTGTAGCCTGCATCAGAAAACATATTTCAGAAGCTGCAACTTATCTTATGGGCCAGAGCTGTGCTTGTAAATCTTTCCAGCCAAGGCATCCACTGGAAAGATGCTACAGCACATCAAACCTTAGAGAAGACCCTTGAGCCTATCAGAAATCCAGTGTTTGGGGATATGAAGTGCAAATGTCAGAGTTGGAATTAGATCTGTATCTTTAATGTGAAAAAAATTAACCAAGGCTTGGAGGACTGTCAATTACTGACAAGTTATAAAGCAAAATTGGATGTTTTTCTTAAGAATTGACTTGCATTTAATTAAAAAACAAATACCATACTGTCCTCAACCATATTGCAGAATAGTGTTCTTATTCTGATGTGTGAGTGTGTGCCTGCTCCTGAGCACTACAGCCCACGCTGACAGTGCTGAAGGAAGTGGCTCTTGCCTGTTGTTCACTTCGGGTTTGGCTTTTGCCATTTAGCAAAGGAAGTGGATGCTTTTGGCCAGGCACGAACCTCAGAACGCCAATCCAAACTGGAACATTGTGGTGCATTCCTATTATGTCATCGTCCCTTCCGACTCTGCCACTCTACTTGTCAAAGCAGTCGCCATCAGGGAGCTCCTGCTGCCTTCAGCCTTCCCAGCCCTCCTCGCTGAGCACCCCGAGCGCATCCGTGGCCCCATAGAGGTGAGTCAGTGCAGCCCTGCTCTAACCCCTGTGCCCAGGTCCCAGGGGAGTCAGTGCAGCCCTGCTCTAACCCCTGTGCCCAGGTCCCAGGGGAGTCACTGCAGCCCTGCTCTAACCCCTGTGCCCAGGTCCCAGGGGAGTCACTGCAGCCCTGCTCTAACCCCTGTGCCCAGGTCCCAGGGGAGTCACTGGAGCCCTGCTCTAACCCCTGTGCCCAGGTCCCAGGGGAGTCACTGCAGCCCTGCTCTAACCCCTGTGCCCAGGTCCC